TGAGACTTTGATCTTAAAGTCACAACATGTGGTTTGAAACCACAACCTTCCAAACTCAGAGGTGAGAGGCGACCGCCCGAGCCTGGCCCATACTTAGCTCCCATCACCAACCCTCCCCTCCCCACACACCGGAGCCGAGTCTGATTCAAACAGAGATTGCTTCTGACCAGCGAACGGGAAAGTGGGTGCCTCGGAGCCCATGGGCGGCGTGGCCAACGGACAAGACACACCAGGCAGCTGGTACCAAGGCATCCCCCCTGAGCCCAGCAACGACAGAGAGCCCAGGGCCAGGGTACCAAACATCCCCTGCACACCAGCGCCGGGCCGGGCAACCTCACAGATTCCACAGCCACGCAACACGTCCATCACACTATAAGCTGAAATCGTCCCTCGCCCCCCCCACCCCACTCCCCCGGCTGTCTCGCTGAATGAAAACACAGTGGGGCCCACACTGGACTGCACCTGATTTGTCTCCGGCCCCATCCGCACCGACTGTGAGACACAGACATTGTGACATAATCACTGCAGCTTTGAAACAGAGTCAGACACGATGCTGATCATCAGGTCACATAGAGACACACACACACACACGGTCTCACACACACACACACACGGTCTCACACACACACACACACACGGTCACACACACACACACGGTGACACTCACACACACACACACACGGTCTCACACACACACACACACGGTCTCACACACACACACACACAGTGACACTCACACACACGGTCACACACACACACACAGTGACACTCACACACACACACACACGGTCTCACACACACAATCACACACGGTGACACACACACACACACACACGGTCTCACACACACAATCACACACACAGTGACACTCACACACACGGTCACACACACACACAGTGACACTCACACACACGGTCTCACACACACACACACACGGTCACACACGGTGACACTCACACACACACACACACGGTGACACACACACACACACACACGGTCTCACACACACAATCACACACACAGTGACACTCACACACACGGTCACACACACACACAGTGACACTCACACACACACACACGGTCACACACACACACACACGGTCTCACACACACACACACGGTGACACTCACACACACACGCGGTCACACACACACACACGGTCTCACACACACACACACACGGTGACACTCACACACACACGGTCACACACACACACACGGTCTCACACACACACACACACGGTGACACTCACACACACACACACACGGTCACACACACACAATCACACACGGTGACACTCACACACACACACGGTCACACACACACAATCACACACAGTGACACTCACACACACACACACACGGTCACACTCACACACACAGTGACACTCACACACACACACACGGTCTCACACACACACACACACGGTGACACTCACACACACACACGGTCACACACACACAGTGACACTCACACACACACACACGGTCACACACTCACACACACACACACGGTCTCACACACACACACACACACGGTGACACTCACACACACACACGGTCACACACTCACACACACACACACAGTGACACTCACACACACACAATCACACACAGTGACACTCACACACACACACGGTCACACACACACACACACACACACAGTGACACTCACACACACACGGTCTCACACACACACAATCACACACACACACACAGTGACACTCACACACACACACACGGTCTCACACACACACAATCACACACACACACACAGTGACACTCACACACACACACACGGTCACACACACACACACACACACAGTGACACTCACACACACACACGGTCACACACACACACACACACACAGTGTCACTCACACAACACGGTCACCAACACACACACACACACACACACACAGTGACACACACACACACACACGGTCACACACACACACAAACACAGTGACACTCACACACACACAAGGTCTCACACACACACACAGTGACAGTCACACACACACACGGTCACACACACACACACAATGACACCCAACAAAGTCACCAATAAGTACAACCAAAAGCTCGGTTTGCACAATAATGAACTCGGGTCAATTTACTTTGCCAACACTTCCCCTGTGCAACAAACTCAAGTTATTCTGCATTCCTCTCACAAAGCAACTTATTGTTTGTGTGTCGTTTTTTACGTATACACATATATATGTAACGTTTCGCAGCAATTGTTTTCTGTCAGAAACTCAGCCTGAGAGTCACGCCCTGTTTATACATATTAATATATATAACAGTCACACACACAAACACACAGTGACACTCACACACACAGTGACACTCACACACAGTGACACTCACACACAGTGACACTCACACACAGTGACACTCACACACAGTGACACTCACACACACAGTAACACTCACACACAGTGACACTCACACACACAGTGACACTCACACACAGTGACACTCACACACAGTGACACTCACACACACAGTGACACTCACACACAGTGACACTCACACACAGTGACACTCACACACACAGAGACACTCACACACACAGTAACACTCACACACACAGTGACACTCACACACAGTGACACTCACACACACAGTGACACTCACACACAGTGACACTCACACACACAGTAACACTCACACACAGAGACACTCACACACACAGTGACGCTCACACACAGTGACACTCACACACACAGTGACACTCACACACAGTGACACTCACACACAGTGACACTCACACACAGTGACACTCACACACACAGTAACACTCACACACACAGAGACACTCACACACAGAGACACTCACACACACAGTGACACTCACACACACAGTAACACTCACACACAGTGACACTCACACACACAGTAACACTCACACACAGTGACACTCACACACACAGTGACACTCACACACAGTGACACTCACACACACAGTGACACTCACACACAGTGACACTCACACACACAGTGACACTCACACACACAGTGACACTCACACACAGTAACACTCACACACAGTAACACTCACACACACAGTGACACTCACACACAGTGACACTCACACACAGTAACACTCACACACTGACACTCACACACACAGTGACACTCACACACAGTGACACTCACACACAGTGACACTCACACACACAGTGACACTCACACACAGTGACACTCACACACAGTGACACTCACACACAGTGACACTCACACACAGTGACACTCACACAGTGACACTCACACAGTGACACTCACACACACAGTGACACACACACACAGTGACACTCACACACAGTGACACTCACACAGTGACACTCACACAGTGACACTCACACAGTGACACTCACACACACAGTGACACTCACACACACAGTGACACACACACACAGTGACACTCACACACAGTGACACACACACACAGTGACACACACACACAGTGACACACACACACAGATTAAAACCTGGTTTCAATATATGACTGTATTCTATTCCCCCCCTCCCCCCCACTGCCAAAAAGGTTATTATTTCTTCCTTCTCCCCCCAAAAAAGTAAAAGAAAAACTTGAATAAGCTTTAATAAGATGAGATGTTTTATTTTGCCCCCTCACCCCCTCCCCTCCCCCCCCTCCCCCCTCACCCCCTCCCCTCCCCCTCCCCCCCCTCCCCCCTCCCCTCCCCCCGTCCCCCTCCGTCCCCCTCCCCCCCCTCTCCCCTCCCCCTCCCCCTCCCCCCCCCCTCCCCCCCTCCCCCCACCACCACCACCAAAAAACCCACAAGTGAAGCTTTAAGGTCAGTCTTTTGCTGTGGTTTGATGAGATGGCACTTGTTTTTGATACAAAATATTTAGGGCAGTACTCAAATAAAGAGGATCACAACGTTAGTTATTTTGCCTGAAGATAAGCAGCAAAATCTCCATCTGAGGCTGTGGCTCAGCCTCTCCCCCCGCACCCCCACAGCCTGCCCCGGGGGGGGGGGGGGCTGGAGCCCCGGGGGGGGGGGGGCTGGAGCCCCGGGGGGGGCTGGTGCCCCGGGGGGGGGGGGGCTGGAGCCCCGGGGGGGGGGGCTGGAGCCCCGGGGGGGCTGGTGCCCTGGGGGGGGGTGGAGCCCCGGGGGGGGGGGGCTGGAGCCCCGGGGGGGGGGGCTGGAGCCCCGGGGGGTGGGGGGGCTGGTGCCCCGGGGGCTGGAGCCCCGGGGGGGGGGGGGGCTGGTGCCCCGGGGGGGGCTGGTGCCCCGGGGGGGGGGGGGGGGGCTGGAGCCCCGGGGGGGGCTGGTGCCCCGGGGGGAGGGGGCTCGTGCCCCGGGGGGGGGGGGGCTCGTGCCCCGGGGGGGGGGGGGCTGGTGCCCCGGGGGGGAGGGGGGCTCGTGCCCCGGGGGGGGGGGGGGGCTGGTGCCCCGGGGGGAGGGGGGCTCGTGCCCCGGGGTGGGGCTGGTGCCCCGGGGGGGGGGGTTGGGTGAGGGGTAGAGTGTGGGTGGGTGGGTGAGGGGGTGAGGGGTGAGGGGTGGGTGAGGGGGTGGGTGAGGGGGTGGGGGTGGGGGGTGAGGGGTGGGTGAGGGGTGGGGGTGAGGGGTGGGGGTGAGGGTGGGGGTGAGGGGGTGGGTGGGGGGTGAGGGTGGGGGGTGAGGGGGTGGGGGTGAGGGTGGGGGTGAGGGGGTGGGTGGGGGGGTGAGGGTGGGGGGTGAGGGGTGGGGGTGAGGGTGGGGGTGAGGGGGTGGGTGAGGGTGAGGGGGTGGGGGTGGGGGTGAGGGTGGGGGTGAGGGTGAGGGGGTGGGGGTGGGGGTGGGGGTGAGGGTGGGGGTGAGGGGGTGGGTGGGGGTGAGGGGTGGGGGTGAGGGGGTGGGGGTGAGGGGGGGGGCGGTGGGTGGGGTGGGGGCGGTGGGTGAGGGTGAGGGGGGGGCGGTGGGGGGGTGAGGGGGTGAGGGGTGAGGGGTGGGGGTGAGGGTGAGGGGGGGCGGTGCTGACTGACCCACCTGCTCTCCTGTCTGTCCCTCCACTCCCCGTGTGGCTGCACAGCTGACACTGGCCCCGCCCCGCCCTCCCGCTCCCATTGGTCCCGCTCCGCCCCGCCCACCCACACAGCCCAACCCCATTGGACTACACGCGCGTCACTCACCCGCACTCGCTACCGCTGATTGGCTCCATTTATTGTTACATTGACTGAATGACACTGACCCACACACTGACTGACACTGACCCACACACTGACTGACACTGACCCACATACTGACCCACACACTGACTGACACTGACCCACATACTGACCCACACACTGACTGACACTGACTTACACACTGACCCACACACTGACTGACACTAACCCACACACTGACTGACACTGACCCACACACTGACCCACACACTGACTGACACTGACCCACACACTGACTGACACTGACCCACACACTGACCCACACACTGACTGACACTGACCCACACACTGACTGACACTGACCCACACACTGACCCACACACTGACTGACACTGATCCACACACTGACTGACACTGACCCACATACTGACCCACACACTGACTGACACTGACTTACACACTGACCCACACACTGACTGACACTAACCCGCACACTGATCTACACACTGACTGACATTGACCCACATACTGACTGATACTGACCCACACACTGACTGACTGACACTATGACTGACTGTCACTCTGACTGTCACTCTGACTGTCACTGACTGTCACTCTGACTGTCACTGACTGTCACTCTGACTGTCACTCTGACTGTCACTGACTGTCACACTGACTGTCACTCTGACTGTCACACTGACTGACAGAAACGGTCACACTGACTGATGCACTCACTGATGCCCTTTTATTCGGTGTGTTTTCCGCCCCTTGGCCCCCGCACTCACCCGTCCCCTCACCTCCCCGTCTCCCTTGTAACCTCTTGATTAATGCCGCCTCTGTTTTTGGGGTTGGATTGACTTTGGATGAGGGTTCCTCGGGCGGCCTCCGCCGGGATGTGCTCAGACTGCGCAAAACCTTTCAATCCCTTGAAGTAGAGCTGCCCCTTTGGGCAACTGGTACAGACGGACAGCACAGCCAACGGCCGAAGCAAACCACCCGACTTCACCAAGTCTCCCAGTCAGTTTGCATCTCAGTTTATGTGTATCAGTCTGTGTCGGTGTGTGTCTTAGTTAGTATGTCAGTCCTTGTATCGGTCTGTGTATCGGTCTGCGTGCTGGTCTATGTGTTAGCGTGTTAGCCCCTGTGTTGGTCTGTGTCAGTCTGTATCTCAGTCTGTAAGAAAAACAGAGAGAGAGCTGGGAACCCTCAGCTGGTCAGGCAGCATCTATGGAGAAAGGAAAGCGAGTCAATGTTTCGGGTCCACGACCCTTCGTCAGAGACGCTGACTCGCTTTCCTTTCTCCATAGATGCTGCCTGACCTGCTGAGTGTTCACAGCTCTGTCTATTTTGGTTTCAGATTCCAACATCGCAGCATTTTGTGTTTTGCATCTCAGTCTGTGTTGGGCGGTGTCAGTCTGAGACTGAAGGGAAAGATTAAACTCACGGATAGAAGGAGTCGGGGAGTGGGGTTGGGGGGTGGTGAGGGTAAGTGAGCATAGAGCTGAACTTGCTCCAAGGTGACATGATTGGCAACGGAACCTCCGAATTGAGCAGCCCCTCTCGAGCAGTCTCCAGACCCTCTGTGCCGGTCTCTAGTCTGGTTCCTGAGCCAAGAGGGTCCACAGTATTCCAGGGCACTCACTGCTGATGACAGAACAGCCCAACCCGGCTCATCAGCGGAACATGGAGGGGCCGACCAGTCACTGGGGGGCAGAGGGAGTCATCCCATTCAGCTCCTGTTAACTCTGCAGCCAAAGCGCTTCACAGAATATACTGTAAACTGTATTGACTATAGTTTGTGTGGGCGAAATGTGTTAGGCAATTGCGAACAAACAGTCATGGATTGAATGACCAAATTCTTATTATTAATACCTTTATACCTATCGCAAATCTGTGTGAAGTTCACGATGTCAGCCGGGATGGGAGCCAGGATTCATTCCCGGTTAGTGGGCACCAGGTTTACTGTAGGAGTGTAGGAGTGAGAGACTGGGGGAGGGAGGAGAGCTGGACATTTACAGTCTTGGGAATGAGAGGGTGGGCTACAGGGAGGAGGAGGGAATTTGGGAGGAATAAGTGGCTTGATGTTATTACCACGGATAATAGTCTCTAATCTTTGGCCATGAAATTATATTGTAAAACGTTGGAATTACTAGGGAACCGTGGGAACGCTGGCTAACAATCGTCTCTTTAATCAGACAAGCGGAGAGTTTCAATAAGAGATTCGTAAATACACAGGACTCAGCCCAGCAGTGAGGGTAGAGAACGAGAGGCCTGACCTGTCACGTGGCCCCAATGCTTTTCCCTCAAATAATAATAATCCGTGTCTTACAGGTCAAGAGGCCATTTTCAAGCATTTCACAGGATATACCGTATCTCCCCCATCTTCCTCACCCCCACCTTTACACCTCACACCCCCACCCTCACCCCAATCCTCACCCCCACCCTCATCCCCACCCTCACACACCACCCTCACCCCCACTCCCACCCTTACCTTCACCCTCACTCCTACCCTCACTCCCATCCTGACACTCCACCCCCACCCCCACGACTCCGCTCTCAGTGAGTGTCTGTGAGATCAGGTCAGGTCTGCACCACATGTAAGTTTCCTCTCCGATATGTTGATGCTTTACTGCCTCAACCACAGTTTCCGGCTGTGAGTTCCAGGGTGAAGAGGTTCCTCCTAACCTGCTGTTAGTGAAAAGCGCTATATCAAATGCAAGGATTATTATTATTATTATTATTATTAGAACCATTAATCGCTGTTTTATTTCTCAGGTCCCTGAATATTGTCCTGTATTATAAATGTACTTCCTGGATATTCATTCCATTGCATAATATGAGAATCTATTGTTTGCTGAGGCAGCGCCATGGCTGCCTGTGTGTGTCCGTGTAGGTTATCTTATATTATGTGTAATACAGGACTCTCTCCACCCACCAAGTTGCTCAAGGCTCCTTCCTCTCGGGTCGAAACCGTTGACCCATTTGATAAAAGATAACAATAATCCTTACATTTGATGCAGCGCTTTTCGCATTGAGAGCACATCCCAAAGCGCTTCTCAGGATGTATGCCACGGGATATACTGTTAATGTAAAGTGAGGCGTAAAGTGTAGTGACTGTGTGTTTGTCGGCCATCGTTCCAGCTAACTTTCATAAACCAATGTCCCACAAACAGCCATGGGGTATTGTATTTGGGTGATTATCGGCCAGGACATCGGGCAAGAGAATCTCCCTTCTGTTTTTGAACAGCGCCGCGGGATCTTTAACGTCCACCTGGACAGGCAGACAGGACCTCCTCGGTTTAACATTTTATCGGGAGGAACGGCACCAATGACAATTGTGCACTTTCCCAGCACTGCACAGGAGTGTCAGCCTAAACTGTCCCGACGTGGGGCTTGATCCCGTAAGATTGTCATTGTGAGAAGGCCCCACCTGCCCCAAGCTGCCCTAAGCCTTTAAGAACAGAGAGAAAGAGGGACGTCTTATGTGTCCTTTCCACCACATAAATATCTGTTTCATGTGCATTTTCTTCTCTCTCTCTCTCTTCCTCTCTCTTTTTTCTCCCCTGAGAACCTGTCTCCTCCTGGTGTCCGCTCTGTCGCATTACAATGTCACTCAGTTTAAGCGATGGTTTAGCCTTAATATTTAATTAAGATCCTGCAGAATTGTGGAAAACCCTTTGAGCATTGCAGTAGGTTTTTTTTTAAGAACTGGGAACAAAACTCTCCATAATTTTGCACGATCTTAATTTTTCTTCTTTCCTTTTTCTAGCACTTTAGGTAGAATTAATAAAAACAAATTCTTGCATTTTGTTCAGGGCCTTTCAAGTCGTTGGAGTGGGGGGGGGGGGGGGGGGGAGGTCACGTCCTAAAAGAGCTTCACAGGATTTACCGTAAAGTGGAGTGACTGTGCGTTTGCAGACGAAGGCAGCAGCCAATTTGCGCACAGCGATGTCACCGCAAGCAGCCATGAAACAAATGATCAACTTTATTTGAGAGATAGAATTCACTGGGAACACTCAGCAGGTCAGGCAGCATCTGTGGAGCGAGGAAAGCGAGTCAATGTTTCGGCCCTTCGTCATGGACCCAAAACATCGACTCGCTTTCCTCTCTCCATAGATGCTGCCTGACCTGCTGAGTGTTCCCAGCGACTCCTATTTTTGTTTCACATTTCCAGCGTCTGCAGTATTTTGTGTTATGTTTATTTGAGAGATTGTTGGCCAGGACAGAGGGAGAGAATTAGACCACAATTAGCCCCCACCCCCCCTACCCCCCCACCATCAAGGAGCCTCATCCTCCTCAGTGAGACCCCACAGCTGGACAAGTAGCGTGAACGACTTCAGCAGTTACCCCAAAGCGCACTCTGGGCTCCCCCCAAGCCTTGCCTCTTGCTAACCTGCACCGAATAATTTCTGGGATTGGGTAAGCAGGATGCCTCCCTCTAGAGAGAGAGAGAGAGAGAGCACATTCCATTCCAACAATCTGTCTCTGGAATTTCCATGTGTAGTTGGGATGCATGGAATTCTCAGCTTGGTTTGGAGGACCTTAAGCAACGGTTTCCGTGTGTGTCAGACACCCGGCTGACCAAACAAAAACTGACCTGACCGATCGCTGTCTCTTTTGTCTAGTCCAAAGGTTTCTCCTCTCGCACAGTCACCTGTGAAGTATCTCAGGCTCGTTCCTTAACCTCTCCTCTTCCTCATCTATACGCGCCCTCTCTCTCAGGCACATCATATACAGACACAAGGTCAACTTCCACATAACTGACACCCAAATCTACTTCCCCGTTTCCCCTCTCAACTCCAGCACCACTGATGTTCTTGTCCATGTTTAGGTGTGGGATTTTGGTTCATTGAGTCATCACCTAAACATGGACAAGACTGAAACCATCCTCCTTGTCTTCCGCCAACATCTCCTCACTCCTGTCTTTGTCCTCAACTTCCTTGGTTTCCCTCAAACTCCCTGAACCATGGAGCCACCTTCGATCCTCAGTTTTTCTTTCTCCCTCACATCCGATCTCTGACCAAGGCTGCTTTCCTTCACTTGCACCACATTGCCCGCCTCCGCCCAAACTCCATCCAGTCCTCGCCAAGAACCAATGGCTCTGTCTCTCAGCTGCTCCATTTCGAGCTCCTCAATCTCTCCCACAAATCGCTTCACACCTTAGCCTCTCTGTTCTCCTGCTATGACTCATTTATTCCTGTGGATCTGTTTTATTTTTGAATCGATTTTTGGCTGCTGAACTATAATACTAATAACAATAATTCTTGCATTTAATAAAGCACCTTATCAATTCATTGAGACATCTCACAGCGCTTCACAGATAAGACTGTAAAGTGAATTGACTGTGTATTTTGTGGGCAAAACATGGCAGCCAATTGCGCACAGCAGTGTTCCACAAACAGCCGGGGATTGAGTGACCAATGTAGCCTTAGAGTGGCACTGTGAAAAATAGACTGTAATGACACACTGATACACCTCAGCATTGGAATACTGATGGGAGATTTCCAGCACAAAAATTAATTGAGAAGAATCGTTCTTTCAAAAAAACTATGAACAAAGTGGCAGATCCCAGCAGAAGCCTAAAAGTGAAGTGAGCTTCAATACATGGGATAACTGATGTCATCGGATGTGGGTCTTGACTCATTTTGATTTCCTGGTGTAGATAGAAGGTAATAATAATAATGCATTTGATATCGTGCCTTACCATGGCCTTAAGGTGTCTCCAAGTGCTTCACAGAATATGCTGTGTTTTATGGATGAAACGAGGCAGCCGATTGCACGTAGTAATGTCCCACAAACGGTCGTGGATTGAGTGACCAAATTGTTGTCATACACATACACACTAGCGTGTAACACATCCCCACACACGCATGATGGAGAGGTCCGTACAGTCTGTCCACAAGGGGGAGCTACAGCTACACAATGCGCCTCAGCCACTGTAAGTCCACCAGTCAGTATGGGCGTTGATCTGTGGTACACGCAGTATTGTACGCGTGTGCCATACATGTAACATGTTTCATGTCATGCACGTGCATCATCTTCTCGTACATTAGTGGTATGTGCACATCATGTTTTGACAATGGAACCTTGTCATGTGTGAGCCCAGAGAGTGACTGAATGAGGCTTTGGCTGCCGAGGCTGCGGTTTTCCTGACTCAGCAGAGACAGGGAGCGAGTCCAGTCCTGCCCTGTAGCTCAGCGCTGGCCTTTGAGGGGGGGCGGGGGGTAAATTCAGAACAAATCTAGGGAGACACTTCTTCAATGAGCGAGTGGCCAACTTATGGGAACAGGGCTCCCTGGGGAGACAGACGGCGGAAGCAGAAAATGTCATTTGTTTCAAGAACAGATTAGATAGATTTCAGCTAGAAAATAATATCTGGGGAAACAGCCTATAGATTGGGACACGACATGTCAAGTGACCGCCAGGGTCCTGGGGGAAGGCAAACTAAACGGACTTCGGTCTTTCGCCAGCGAATTCTTATGCTCTGCTGTTCTTTGCAGACAAGAGAGAGAGATAAACACGTGTACAAAAAAACCCAATATTTATTAACTACAAATAAACTGAGATACAAGAGAATAGGCAATGCAGCGAACACTATATCACAGGGGGCTCAGTAACACCATCAAGACTGAGCTGAAGGCACGTCTCTGCTCATTGTGGAACACTCACGTGGGAAGCTGAAGGGTCAGGGGAACCTGTAGCTGCTTCTGTTTCCACGACTGTTTGTGGGACGCTGCTGTGCGCGATTGGCTGCCGCGTTTAGGCCACAAATATACGGTCAACTCACTTTACAGTATACTCTGTGAAGCGCTTTGAGACGTTGAGAAGACGTGAAAATGCAAGGATTATTATTAACCTGCTTAACGTTTCTACCCACAAAATATACAGTCAATTCACTTTGCAGTATATTCTCTGAAGTGCTTTGAGGCAGACAGAGTACAGAGGTCTATCGCCCACTAATACCCACAGTAACACTGTGAGACATCAGAGTGTGAACCTTGGCTGCACACAGCACTGAACAGGCAGCAAACTTGGTGGGTGGACAGGGAGAGAGAAGGTGGGTGGGAGGGGGAGAGGGAGAGAGAGGGAAGGAGGGAGAGGGAGAAAGAGAGGGAGGGAGATGGAGAGAGGGGGAAGGAGGGAGAGAGAGGGAAGGAGAGAGAGGGAGAAAGAGAGGGAAGGGAGAGAGGGGGAGAGAGGAGAGAGAGAGACTAACATACACATACTGACACCCACAGTGAACGTGCATTGTTACAGGGTGACAGTGGGCTGGGGAGTAGGGCAGGACTCCCTTCCCAACAGAAGCAAATTTTATTTGACCTTAAAGCGTAGGAGGAAAAGTCAGCGAGGGTCAGCCCGTATCTGCCAGTCACTCCAGCTGGATGGTCAGGTGTGGATACTCTTAAGCAGGTGATGGGTTTCCGCATGTGTCAGACACCCACCCGGCTGACCAACAAAACACACACCTAATGGAAGCTTTCACCTGTGTGTGTGTGTGTGTGAGAGAGAGTGTGTGTTTGTGTGTGTGTGTGTGTGTGTGACTGTTTATTATGTACACACAAGTAGATTTCAGCTCTGTCCCTCTCCCACAGAGACAAGAGTCAGAGTCAGTCAGTGCTGCAGAAACTGACAGCCTCAGACGCCTTTCGCTCTGTCCATTCGTGTTACAGGAACGCTGTTCTCTTTCATATTTAAAATAAAACACACAATAACAATCTCTAGCCCCAGGAATGTTATCAGATGTAATATAATCCAGTTTCTATCCTATTTCAAAAAATGCTGTATTTAGAAACAGCGGAATGTTTATGGAGTTAAGAATGAGAAATCTTTTTGCTCCCTCTCCCTCCGCTCCATTCCCCTCTCCGTTCCCCCCACTGCAAGATTCTCACTTGAAGTTTTCTGGAAATTGCTGAGCTCAGATAACAACGTAAGGAGATCGAACTCAAAACATTCATCATCGACCGGTTAGTGGTATAACAGCCGACTGACTGGTTACCGGCTGCAGCTGGTGACCATCCCTGCACTGCCCCCCCCCCCCCCCACCCCACCGCTGCCCCCCCCCACCCACACCCCACCGCTGCCCCCCCCCCCCCACCCATGATGAGATCATCGAAACATCACTGTCCCTCCTCCTACTTCACAACATCACAACTTCAACGTTCACCGTGGTAAACCCTGCCGATGGGGTGGGGGGGGGGGGAGGAGGGGATCATATAAACGCCGGCACGGACTAGTGGGCTGAATGGCCTGTTTCCGTGTGGTGACGCTCTATGTGACTCTATGCATTTTTTAAAAAAAACAAATTGTTCTTTGAACAGCCACTGACTGCTGTGGGCGGGCAGCACAGGGTGAGGGACCACCGCCACAACAACTTGCATTTATATAGTTGTTGTGGACACTTTTGAGGAGCAAATCTTCCCATCGAGTCTTGTTTGTGGGATTTACAGTTAGAAAGACTTGGGAGTGGAGATGATCACCTTTAGTGATCAATATTTCTTTTAGCGAAAATGGGGTCAGGATGCTACGGTCAGGGGTCAGGAGGCTGGGGTCAGGAGTCGAAGGTCAGGAGGTTAGTCAGTTGTCAGGAGGCCAGAGTCAGGGGTCGGGGGTCAGGGGTTGGGATCAGGAGGGGTCAGGGGGTTCAGTCATACTCCTCGCTGTCCTCAGTGGGGTGCTGTCCGGGACCCTCGGGGCTGTGTTGGCCGGTGGTCACGGTGGGGCTGTGATTGTCCGCGGGGAGGGTGCTCTGGGGACAGTATTTGGGATCGTAGACCTGACGCCCGAGCCCGATGTTGAGGCCGCTCTGGTTGGCTCCTTTGTTGGTTCCCATCTGCAGGGAGGCGGTGGTGTGGTCACAGCTCTCCAAACACAGCTTCTTGTCATAAACCCCTCGCCGGGTTCCTGGTGCACACATCCCCGTCTGCGGGAAAACACAACAAGGCGTTACCCCAGGGGTCGGGCAGCCCAGCCCAGCCTCTCACACTCACCCTCCGGCCACTCCGGCCTGGCTCTCGCACTCCTCTGGTTTCAAACATACAATAACAACAACTTGCATTTATAGAGCTCCACGCCGGGTGGCGTCTCAGGAGCGCTTGAATACACTGACCCTCGCTCGCCTCTAAACCTCAACACATCCCTTTTTTTCCCCACATCTCCCAACATCACCATCTTAACATAACGTAACATGTAGGAGCAGGAGGAGGCCATTCGGCCCTCCGAGCCTCTGCCCCACCATTCAATCATGGCTGATCTTATCTAACTCCAGCTAATACCATAACCCTGCCTTATCCCTATATCCCTTAATTCCTTTTGCAATAAGAAACCTATCTATCTCAGTCTTGAATACGTTCAAGGACTGAGCGTCAACAGCCCTTTGGGGTAGTGAGTTCCATACATTCACCGCCCTTTGAGTGAAGAAGTTCTTCCTCAATCCAGCCCAGTCCGTCAGGCTCAGCTCAACACCCACAGTCATTCTGTGAAGAATTTCCTGTGATCTGCCTGATTTGGGGTGGGGGGGGGCACACTCCCTCCCCCTCCACCATCATCCCTCCCCCTGCCACACTCCCCACCCCCCATGGGCACACCCTCCCGCCCCCCACACACACTCCCCACTACCCTGCCCACAGGCACACCCTTCCCCACCTTGGGCACACACTCCCATAATCCTCCAACCACCCGCTGGGGCACACACGTACGTCCCACCCCCATCGGGCACCCCAACCCCCAGGTACACACCTGACTGGCTCCCTTGTTGCTGCCCATCTGTAGCCCGATCGTGCTGCTGTCCAAGGGAACCCCGATGTTCAGCTTCTGATCGTACAGGTTCCTCTTGGCTCCGTACGGGATCATCCCTGACTGGCTGGCACAGCGGTTAGTACCCATCTGTGTGTGTGAGACAGCACCGACAGCAAACCGGGTTAAGGAGAGAGACAGAGAAAGAGAGAGAGAGACACACAAAGCAAGAGAGAGAGAGAGAGAGAGAGGGGGGACACACACAAAGAGAGAGAGAGACACACACAAAGAGAGAGAGAGACACACACACACACACACAAAGAGAGAGAGACACACACACACACAAAGAGAGAGAGAGAGCGAGAGCGAGGAAGGGAGCGAGAGAGAAAGAGAAAGGGAGAGAGAGGGAGAGAGATAGAAAGCGAGAGGGCGAGAGGAAGGAAGAAAGAGGGAGAGAGAGAGAGAGAAAGGAATCGAGAGAATGGAAGAGAGAAAATGAGAGAGAAACGGAGAGGAAGGTGTGGGGTGGGGATGAGTCAGGCCAGTACCTGGAGGCCAATGATGGTGCTCCCGGCTCTCAATGTCTCTTCATCAAACGAGCGTTGCTGTTTGTCCGCGTACTTTACCCCGATGCTGACCCCGGTATCTACTCCCTTTGTTTTCGCCTGGTGACAAACAGCGAGGAGTCAGCCTGACTTCTCATCCCCTTCCTCTCCCCCCCCCCCGCCTGCCCCCCGGCGCTGGCACCAGCGACACACTGGGCTGTTTGGAGGGTCTCACTCACCATGCTAGCCACCGCCAGCAACGTGGTCTGAACCTGGGTCATGTTCGCGTTATCAAACAGGTCGTTGGCCTCAAATATATCGTAGGGTTTGATACCATAATGCTGGATGGCCTTGATGAAGTTGGTCAGGTTCTCCAGCTGTTTGTAACACAGGGAGGAACACAGGTCAATGAGGAGAACATAAGAATTTGCTGGACGAAAGAAGATCAAGGTCCATCCAATTCGCCTTCCACCATCCTGGCCGTCGCTTGACATGTCGTTCCCATATATACAGTATCTGCAGAATACTATTTCCAAACAAAGCTGATTTGCTTTGGATTTCAGTTCATTTCTGCTTCCAGCGACTCCCTAGGGAGGCTGTCCCACACGTTTACCACTCGCTCACTGAAATAGTGAAGGAAAAAAGGAGAATTCCAGCCTCTCTAACCTTCAATAATAATCCTGGCATTTGATACAGCGCCTTATCATGTATTCGAGATGTCTCAAACGCTTGACAGGAAACACTTCGAAGTGTAGTGATTGTATTTTGTGGGCGAAAGTCAGGCAACCAATCGCGCACATTCAAGTCAGAAGGTTGTGGGTTCAAACCCCAAGTCGGAACTTGGATTTGTCTCTTCTAGCCCCCGCAGTCTTGTGCAGTGTTCCTCAGGGCTCTGTCCTCGGTCCCCTCCTCTTCAACCTCCCCCTTGGTGACATCATCCGCAGACACAGGGTCAACTCCCATATATATGCAGATGGCACCCAACTCCATCTCTCTGCCTCCCCCCTCGATTCCAGGACAACTGACATTGTGACAGACTGTCTGTCTGACATCAAGTCCTGGATCAGAGCCAACTTTCTACAGATGAATGTCAGGAAGACTGAGGCCCTCCTGATTGGCTCACGCCAGAACCTCAGGCACTGGCAGCATCAGTATCCACGGTTGCCCACTCCACCTCACTAAGACCTGGGTGTCTTGTTCGACCCTCAACTGTCCTTTCTCCCCCATATCCGTCCCTTGACCCACTCTGCCTAACCCCACCTCTGCAACATTGCCCGACTCAGCCACTGCCTCACCCCTCAGGGCCACTGAAACCCTCATATGTGCATTCATTGCATCTCGGCTCAACTACGGAAACTCCCTCCTTGTCGGCCTCCCAACTCTTCCCTCCAAAAGCTGCAGATCACCCAGAACTCTGCAGCTCATGTCCTCTCCCGCACCAGGCTCTGTGACCCCATCCCTCAGAGGATACAATTCAAAATCCTTGACCTCACTTTCAAGGCCATTCATGGCCTTGCCCCCTCCCACCTCTCTGACCTGCTGACCCCCTATCAATCTGTCTGCTCCAGGTCTTCTGCCTGACCCACCCAACCATCGGCAGCCAGGATTTCAGCCTCTCTGCCCCCACCCTCTGCCGCCGTCCCTTTGCCTTGTTCCCTCTTTGCCTCCTTCAAAGCACAACGCAAGACCCTCTTTTTTGACCGTACCTTCAGTCTCCCTCCTACCCCCTTTGTCCTCCCTCATCCCAATCCTACCCCCCCCCCCCCCCCCACACTCGGGTCCTGATCCCCGGCTGTTCAGCGCCTTGAGATGTTCTCCCAACGTGAAAGGCGCTTTACAAATGTAATTTTGTTGTTCTTGTTGGAACCCATATAGTTCCATACGGACACTCCGATGAGATTCTGGGGGAACGATGCATTGTTGGAGATGCCATCCATTGGCTGAGACATTGAACCAGGGCACAGTCTGCCTGTTCAGGTGGATGATGAACATCTCATGCCACAATTCTAAAAGAGAAGCGACTTTCTCTCTCCCAGTGGCCTCGCCAACAATCCCCCAATAAAATTGGTCCCTCACTCAATGGCTGTCTGTGGGACACTGGCTGCTCTGTTTGCCTACAAATACGTAGTCACTACACTTAACAGTGAAGTGATCTGAGATAATCTTGATGCGATGAGGTACTGTATGAAATGGATTATTATTCTGAATTATTATTAAATAATAACAATAATCCATACATTTGATACAGTGCCTGTAACATTGATACATCTCAAAGCACTTCACAGGGAAGTGTAGTGGTATTGGCTCAGGACTGTGTGTGAGTGAGAGAGAGAGAGAGTGTGTGTGTGTGATTGAGAGTGTATGAGAGAACATCACATAAGAATTAGGAGCAGACCATTCGGCCCCTCGAGCCTGCCCCGCCATTCAATAAGATCATGGCTGATCTATTCTAACTCCACCTACTCGCCTTATCCCCATATCCCTTAATCCCGTTAGCAAGAGAGAGTGTGAGAGAGTGTATGTGAGAGAGAGTGTAAGAGAGAAAGAGAGCGAGGTATTGCATTGCCAAGCACATCACTTTGAAGCCACTTCAGATCAGCTAAGGAGAGTATTTCAAGACCTTCTTCTTTGACTTCAGACACCCTCCCGACCACCCCCCCATTTCGCCCACACCTCCAGCCCCCAGCTCAGGTGAAAAGCCCTCAACTGTCCAGCGCTATGGGACATCTTTCCAACGTGAAAGACGTTGTGTAAATGTAATTTGTTTTTGTTGAGAGCCCCCCCACCCCTATAAAAAACACCATTTGTTAGTTACCTGGTGCCAGTTTAACTTGGATTGGTTGATTTTCCTCACGGAGCCCGGCTGCAGTTTGTTGATGAGTCTGTTGAGGGGGAGAGAAATGGTTGTGGTTAGACAGGCAGGTAGACATCTGTACAACCTGGAACATTGCTGCACACAGGAGAGTCAACAGCTGCAGTAGCAGGAGGTGTGATTGAGGTCAGGGCATTGAGACCCATATATGAACCAGCTCGATGCTGTAATGGGAAACACACAAGATAGTAAAGGTCAGGTGGGCCAAAGGGCCTTCTTCAACCAAACCTCTACTACGAGCAAGTCTGTCTAATGCAAAGCCAACGAAAACACAGTCACTTCACTACAATTTGAGACATCCTGCCACTTTCTCAAAACCCACAGATTGTTATTTTTATCATCCTCCTCGCATTTAATATCGCGCCTTATCACATCTTTGAGCTATCTCAAAGCACTTTGCACGATTGAAACAAGGGATTTTTCCCACTCAGGTCCTGTTAACCCTGTAAGCCACAGCCCTAACGGGTAGAGTGGTCCTAGCAGGACAAGCAGCGGGAAGCTCGTCAGACACTGCTCTCAATGGTAAGCTAAGTGGTAGACTCCAGCAGTTACCCCAACCCACACACTGAGGGGGGAGACGTGGACAGAGAGGGAAGTAGTTAGTGAGAGGAAAGGAGGAGAAAGAGCTGAGCGTCAGACCAAAACAACAACAACTTGCCCGCATATAGCTCCCTTCACATATGGGGTGGGGTGACAGTGACGGAGTCTGACACCGAGCCAGAGAGGGGGTGTGACCGTAAGCACAACCGAAAAGGAAGGTCGTTAGGCGGGATTTGAATGTGGGGAGGGAGGGGGCGAGGCGGAGGGATTGAGGAGGAAGAGAGTTACAGAGTTAAAAAAATAAATGATTGGTGTTAATAGCACCGGAACGTGGGCTGATTGATGGCTTCTTGGCAGAACCTTTCTGGGAATCTTATCTTTCCACAGAACATCAGCGTGTAAACAAATCATACACAATGGATCCAATTCCACACCTCCCGGCGAAACACAAACTGGTTCCAGAACCGGTCTGGAGCTGAAACCAGGCCCGTAACGGTGGGGCGGGGTGGGCAGGGGGGGTGTCACACTGCTAGGGAGGGGCACCCTGCGCATGTTGGGATCCATCCACCTGCATCACTGCCAGCCCCGAGAGAGAGAGATAGAGAGAGAGAGACTGAGAGAGAGAAGACAATGAGAGAGACAGTGAGAGCAAGGAAGAGAGAGAGAGAGAGAGAGAGAGCGAGGGGGGTGGTAGTGAGAGAGGGAAATAAAGAGCGAGAGGAAATGGGGAGGAGCGAGGGAGAAAACGAGCTGGCCCATACAACAACAACTTGCACTTATACAGCGAGTTTATAAGGAAGGAATTACAAAACAAGGAATTGGGGAAGAGGGAGGGGGTTGGTGGTCTACAGACTGATGGCTCGGTCACGGCGACAGCGCAGAGAGGCGGGGAATGCCAAGCGGAGGGGGCAGCGGAGGAGGAGTAGGGTAGGAGGAGGGGGGGTGAGTGGATGGGGAGGAATTTGTGGGTGCGGGTGACTTTGGTTATAATCCGGTCTGTGCTGAGGTTGCTGAAGTGGTTTAGGAGGCTGGATTAGCTCTGGGCATCCACAAGCTCATGGGAGTAAATCAAATAAGTAACAAAAATATTATTAAAAATCCTTGCATTTGGCACATCGTCGAGACCTCTGAAAGCGCTTCACAGGCTGACACACATAATCTCAGCACAATGTTACTCCTGTAACTCATTGCTTTAGGGTGGGGATACTGTTACTGGCCAGAAATGCAGTATTATTAATTATTATTATATCAATTATACTTACAATTGTAATTAAAATAATTTATATAAAAATAATTGCAATTATAATAATTGTTACATGAATTATTATTAATAACACTGTATTATTAATAGGCTGCGGTGTTTCACCCACAAAATACACAGTGACTCCACTTTAAAGTCTATCCTGTGAAGCGCTTTGAGACCTCTTAACGATGTGATAAATGATCCTATATCAAATGCAAGGATTACTATTATTGGCCACGGAGTAGGAGCATTATTACCAGCTGACAACATAGCATTACTATTATCGGTCACAGATTAGTATTATTACTGGTGGGTATTGTAGTATTTTCCTCCGTTTACCTAGCAGTAAGTTGGAACCTGGTCTTTAGTCGACCGGTGGATCGCTTTCTGGGGGTAATAATCCCTTAAAAAATAATATATTTTAAAAAATAAAATAATAATTTGGTCACTTCAGTCCACGACTGTTTGTGGGACGCAAATTGGCAGCCACATTTTGCCCACAAAATACAGTCACTACACTTTATAGTGTATTTTGTGAAGTGCTTTGAGACGTCTCGAAGGCATGATAAGGCGCTGGGTCAAATAAAAGGATTATTATTGTTTTTGTTGTTGTTGTTATCAGGGTGACTAATCTGTGAGAGGTCGCACTCACTCGCACAGAATGATTCCGTTCTGCAGACTCTTCTGGAAGTTGTCCCCGAGCGCCATCCCGGTCATGCTCTCGATCCAGACCCGCAACTCCTCCTCCTTCTGTATATCATATTTCTGAGCGATCTGCCGGCGGAGAGAGAGAGAGAGAGCGTCATGAGGCGGCGTTCAGTCTGACAACCCAACTGATGCCGTCAGGCGTGAAGGTTGCTACATAAGTACAAGTTGTTGTTGTTAGACGGGAATAACTAAAGACAGTGCTCCATCCACGAGACACGTCCCCAGGATTCACACCCAAGGAAGCCAGTAACATTGCTCCCACATCCCCCACCAGAATATTCCTCCAATCCACTCTCGGAGCAGCATTCCTGTGGGTTCAAGAGGACAAGGGGGAAATATTCCCAGTTACTGTAAGGATTCCCCAATCAAAGGAATCCGGTTGCACATTCGCATCAGAGAGAACATTGGAAGGAAGGTTGGAGCCCATTTAGCCCATCAAGCCGCTCCCACACTCCACGGATCATGTGCTAATGCCTCCCACGATCCCATAGTATAGTGGTTAGAGCGCTCACCTCACCAGCGAGAGGACCTGGGTCCCGGGCAGGGCAAAACCATAGGCACTTTTCCTTACACCACACGCCTCTGTTTACCGAGCAGTAAGTAGGAACCTGGTTGTTAGTCGATTGGTGGATTGCTTTTCCAGGGGTTAATAATCTCTTCAGAAAATATAATTTGGTCACTCATCCATGACTGTCTGTGGGACGCTACTGTTCACAACTGACTGCCACGTTTCACCCATAAAATACAGTCAATTTACTTTACAGTATATTCTGTGAAGTGTTTGAGACATCTCAATGACACGATAAGGCACTGTATGAAATGTAAGGATCATTATCATTAATAATAATCATCCCACCTCCCCATGTCTTCACTCCCCGAGGAGCTCTCTGTCCCTCTTAATCTCACAACTCGTGTCCTCTCCCTGGGGACGGATACTCCCGATTCTCATTGTTCTGCACCAGGAGAGATCCTGGTCTCAGCCCAAAAATCCTCTGCCCTTATTTTAAGGTCGCAACCCCAGAGAGGGAATGGGACGTGACTGATTGCTTATTTGGATTGGCTGTCTTTTGCTGGCAGATTTCAGTGGTTTGTTAAACGTGTTCAGACAATAAACCCAGCCCGGATCTGATTCACTCCCCTTCTCCGGGAGGCTCGGGCTATGTCTTCACACAGAGAGGCTCTGAGGGAGAGAGAGAGGGAGGTTACCATCAGCAACTGCACAGCCAGCTCTTTCTACAACAAACTACTCTATGTTTCTCTGTCTCTCTTTTGTGGGTGTTGGGGGGAAAAGAGTCACAGAACATCCGCTAATCAACCCTCCACAACCGCCTCTCACCCCCGGCTGCGGTGGGCTTCAGTCAGTCACCCCTGGAATTCATAAAAGCAAGTCTGAAGGTGGTGGGTTCAAGCCACAAGTCAGACTTTGAGTCTAGGCTGACATTTAAGTGACATTCGAGGTGGGGTTCATTGTCGGAGGTGCTGTCCTTCAGATGAATCATTGTAAACCGCAGCCCCAACTACCTATTTAGGTGGACACTAATGACCCCATGGCACTATGCATCACTAAAAGAAAGTGGTTTGTCTCTCCCGCTGTCCTGGCTAACGATCCCCCTGATAAAATTGGCCATTCACTCCATGACTGTTTGTGGCACATTGCTCTGTGTTAATTGGCTGCTGCGTTCATCCACAAAATAGTCACTACAATTGACAGGAATTTCCAATGAATGTTTTAATGTGATGGACACTGTGTGGCTCTCAAGAATTATATCATTACCTGATGGGAGAGGTGGCTCAACCCTCTCTGCCTATATGCGTGTCTCTCTCTGTGTGTATATGTGTGTGTGCCTATGTGTGTGTCAGTCTCTGAGTGTGAGTGTGTGCATGTGTGTCTGTCTGTCTCTGTCTGTTTGTCTGTATGTATATCTGTCTTTCTCTCTGTGTTGGACCATTTGCTCCCCTCCTGCTCCCCTTGTTGTTGGCCTGTGCCCAGATCTTGCTGAAATCCTCTGTAACCAGCTTCCTGTTTCAGTAGCCAAGTTTCTCTCTGACTGTCAAAAACATTCAACACTTCATATGATCAGCCATCAGTCACATAAACCTGTTTACAGCTGTTTGTCTGGCTCGGCCACTGGGTACTCAGTGAATCCAAGCTCTCCGGGTCTCTACCCTGTGTGAGAGGCATTAAGTCAATGCAAATATTTGTTCTTGTTGTTGAATCCTTCACATAATGAGGTTAGGGCTTCGGGATAGGGTGCAGAGTCAGGCTGACGCCTAACAACCTGCCTGACAGCACGCTGACACTCAAACAATACAGAGCCTCGACACCCAGCAGGACCTTGGGCCATCCTCCACATGTGAAAGGCGCAAAACAGCATCAACACAACTTGTTGTGGTTTAATCACATGCAGATAGTTGGTTTATTCCCAGGGACACGGAGACCGACTCATGTAGCTCCCTTCACGCGCCCCCAGCCTATCCCCTTCACCCCTCGGTGGCTTTAGTGGGTTTAGACCTCAAGAACATCAAGGTGGCTGGAACATCACGAGCTGTTCTGTAAAGGTTCTCCCACTACACTGAAGGCAGATGTCCACCAGATAGCTAATGACGAACCTCTGAGGCTTGGGGCGACAGCTGCTGGAAAGTGAGTTTAAACTTCCACCATGGTTGACAACGGAGTGTGGGAATCGAGCCAGCCCTCTGTGGGGGTCTCGGTAGTCGGATTCCTGAGCCAGACGGGTCCAGGCCACTGCTGATAACAGCACAGCCCAGCCTGGCTCATCGGCAGGTTCTGGAAGGGAAGATCAGTCACTGGGGGCTGGGAGTCATCCCATTCTCCTGTTAACCCTGCAGCCAAAGCCTGAAAGGGTAGAGTGGTCCAGTGGGAAAACTTGCCAGATAGTGTGGCAGCGCTCTCAATGGCCAAGCTGTGTGGGTTTAGCCGGTTAGACTCCAGCAGTTACCCCAACACACACTCTGGGGTCCCCAAGCCTTGGCTCTCTGGAATTAGATAAGCGGGATGGGTCCCTCCAGGGACATAGTTCTCATGTGTAAATGGGATGCATTAATTTTCAGTCTGGTTTGGATGTTCTTAAAGCACGGTTATAGGTTTCTGCATGAGTTAGACATCCGGCTGATGAAGGNAAAAAAATCAGCCACAAAGTGGGCCGATGTCACCACTGTGATCTCATCAAACATCCTCAGAAAGTTAAACAGAGAGCGCGAGAGAGACCCACACAGCGTGATTGTGCTTGAATCAGGAAGTGAATGTGACAGAAATTGCTGTCTCTTAATTTTATTTGTTTTTAAAAAAAGGAACAAACATAAAACGTGGAAGTGAAAAAGATCAGGAGGTGGGAACTGGGGCCCGGGATTGTGCTGTGTGGTGCCCAATGGAGTTGGTTGGGGGTGGAGTTGGGGGTTGGGGGTGGAGTTGGGGGTTGGGGTTGGAGTTGGGGGTTGGGGTCGGGGCTGGCGTCAGGGCTGGGGGGCCAGGTAGGCGAGAGTGAATAATGGAGGCCCCAAATTCCACCTAGTCTTAGCCTGTGAGATTGATTATTATTAAAATTTCAGATTGCCCAGAATTGTGGAATTATGTGTGCGTGTGCCTGTGTGCACGCATGCGCCTCTGGGTGTGTGTATATGTGTGTGTCAGCACTTGCCTGTGTGTGCACATGTGTGTCTGCCTCTGTGCCTGTGAGTTTGTGAATCTGTGCACCTGTGTGTGGATGAGTTTGTGTGTGTGTGTGTGTGTGTGGAATCGTTGTCTGTGATTTCTTGGGAAAAATGGATACTTGGGAGTCAATGAAACTGTAAACCGGGAGATTACTCAGCACTTCCAGCAAAAGGGGAGGAGAGAGAGTGAGGATAAAAATTCTCAGGAAAATTCTCCAAACTTTGACAGGGTTGGGGAGAAAAACAGAGACCAGACACACACACAAGTCTGCACAGGAACCGAGGACTATCCGGCTCAGCCCAGCCCAACCGCCCACTCGCTGCAACATCAAATGTCACTGCATTTTTTGCTCTACTGCTGGTCCCTGAAACTAGTGTCCCCCTCACCACCCCCCCCCCAACCCCAACCGACCCCCTCCTCGCACAGATCCAGTGTTGGTGAGCTCAGGGCTGTGGTGACGCACCAGCCAGCACTCTCCTCTCCCTGACAAGTGAAACGCACCATTTTGTATCACACCTGAGGTTTACTAATAGCTTGACACTGACATCACCCGCCCAACTCCGCCCGCCTACCCCACCCCACTGCTCCCCGAGCATGCCTCCCCCCCCCGACCAAAACCAGAGCCCGTCACCAGCACAGCTTCCTCTTAACAAGAACATTATAGAAAAATCAGCAAAGCCCAGTGTTCACAGTTTTTTCTAAACCAAACAAAAATCGACCTGACAAACTTCTATGTTCTTTCTCGCCTGAAAAGATACTCCCTCTCTCCCCCCCACCCCCGAGAAAAAATACAGTCACTACACTACACGCTAATCCAAACCGGAGCTCACTAAAATCCTGTGCAGTGCTTTGAGACATCTCGATGATGTCATTAAGTTACTGCATAGAACTATGAAAATTTATAATAATAATCCTTGCATTCGTCAAGACTTCTTAAAGTGCTTCACAGGATACACTAAAGTGAATTGACTGTATATTTTGCGGGCAAAACAGGGCAGGCAATTGCACACAGCATGGATTATATTACTGTTGCTTAAGAAATTTCCCCCCCAGGCTGCGAGTGTAGGGTATTTAAGCATGGGCGGGAAGGCCGTCTTCCCCGAACCACAGGATTGATCACAGCTGTGATTGAAACTGCTGCCAATTCTCCACATGGTTGAGGTATCAGAGAGGGACTCTTAGCCAGAGGCTGGGTCTCAGAGAGGAAGGTGCTCCCTCACAGGGACATACGTTGCTGGATATTGATACAGAGCTTTAACACATCACTGAAACATCTCAACAGGATCTTCTGTAAAGTGTAGTGTCTGTGTATTTTGGAAGTGAATGCAGCACCCAATTTGCACACAGCTCCCAATCCCACTAACAGCCATGAAACGAATGACCAACTTTATCTTGGAGATTGTTCGCCAGGACTCTTTCAAACAGCCATGAGATCTTTAATGTCCACCTAAACCTCGGTTTCATGTTTCATCTGAATGACAGCCTAACATGGGGGCTTGAACCCACAACTTCTGACAACCTTCAGAAGCGAGACTGATCGAGCCAGGCTGCCGCCTGCTGTATTGAACACTGCGGGGAACTCACTCCCCCATTTCACTAGCAAATTGTCCAAGAAAAGGAGAGAATCCACATTGTCCTCTGTCACAAAGCAGAGAGGACTCCGGCATCCTTTTAGGAATGATGTCACCCCTGCCAATGATGTCATCCCTGCCAATGATGTCACCCCTGCCAATGATGTCACCCCTGCCAATGATGCCATCCCTGCCAATGATGTCACCCCTGCCAATGATGTCATCCCTGCCAATGATGTCACCCCTGCCAATGATGTCACCCCTGCCAATGATGTCACCCCTGCCAATGATGTCACCCCTGCCAATGATGTCACCCCTGCCAATGATGTCACCCCTGCCAATGATGTCACCCCTGCCAATGATGTCACCCCTGCCAATGATGTCACCCCTGCCAATGATGTCACCCTGCCAATGATGTCACCCCTGCCAATGATGTCACCCTGCCAATGATGTCACCCCTGCCAATGATGTCACCCCTGCCAATGATGTCACCCCTGCCAATGATGTCACCCCTGCCAATGATGTCACCCCTGCCAATGATGTCACCCCTGCCAATGATGTCACCCCTGCCAATGATGTCACCCCTGCCAATGATGTCATCCCTGCCAATGATGTCATCCCTGCCAATGATGTCATCCCTGCCAATGATGTCATCCCTGCCAATGATGTCATCCCTGCCAATGATGTCGTGTCTGGGAAGTATATCCAATTTTGTCCGAAGGAAAAGAAAGAAGACAAAAAAAAGAGAGAAGCCTCTGATGAACCTTGAACATTGTCCGCTGGAAGGAGGTAGGGGAGAAGAGAGAAGGGTGATGGGAGGAGAGAGAGGGATGAGGGGAGGAGAGAGGGATGAGGGGAAAGAGAAGGGGGTGAAGCGAGGAGGGAGAGAGAGGGGCCTCAGTCAGCATCCACAAGCACATTCCAGCAGATCAAATATAGCAACTGCCCCCTTCACCTTATCTCATCCAGCCATCCTGATATCCCTCAAAATCAGAGGAATTTATAAGCTGCTTCAATTGACAATAATTTATAATCCTCACATTTAATATAACGCCTTTTCATCTCAAAGTGCTTCAGAGCAGTGACAGGATTTTATGGATGAAAACAGCAGCTGATTTACATAGAATGTCCCACGAAGTGAATTTTATCTGCGGAATTGTTGGCCAGGACACCGGGAGAGAGAAACTCAATTCTCTTTTCCGAAGTTTCTGTTCAATAAAATAATTTCCAAATGTATTTTCGTATCACTGTCTGCTCAAATGTATACAACTCAACCGGCACTAGTGACTGCATCTGAGCCAAACTCCACACTAACACATCCACATATTCCCAGGACCCCTGCAGCGTCCTCCCAACAGCACGGAAACTGGAAGATTATTGCAATGAAGGTGTTTTCACTTCCTCCTCCTTACAATAGAGGCGACAGAGGTATATTTTGTAGGTGAAAGCGGCAACCAATTTGGATGCAGCATTGTCCCACAACTTCGGTGTGGAGTCCTGTAGCTCAGTGGTCAGAGCACTCGCTTTGCAAGTGAGAGACCTGAGTTCAATTCCAGGCAGAGGGTGAAACCTTGGGCAAGTTTCCTTACTCCACACGCATGATAACAATCCCTCAAGAAAAAAACAATAATAATTTGATCACTCGATCCACGACTGTTTGTGGGACGCTGCTGCTGTGCACAATTGGCTGCTGCATTTTGCCCACAAAATATACAGTCAATTCACTTTACAGTATTTTCTGTGAAGCGCTTTGAGACATTGCAAAGACGTGAAAAGCGCTATCTCAAATGCAGGGATTATTATTATGATTATTGTTAGGACACCGGGAGAGAGAAACTCCCTTCTCTTTTCGGATAGCGCCGTGGGATCTTTAATGACCACCTGGACAGGCAGGCGGGACCTTCGCGGTTTAACGTCTCACCGAAAGGACGATGAGGCACATGGGGATAACATTCCCACCTGGATCTAGAGTTACTCTCTCAGTATTCCAAACCCTCCCGGCATTCGGCTCCTTCTGGAAACGCGGTTTCACCGTTGAGATTCCAAGTTGCTTCGAACATATAGAAAACTGGGCACAAGTTTGAGAATTCGGGAGGTTTTGCCAAATTCAGGAATTCTCTGAAATTCCTGGTTTAATAAGAGGGGATGTGGAGGGCTGGAAAAATGTCCTCTACACAAATATATCTATATATATATCTATACATATAGCCATGCGGGTAAAAGGTGAGGTGCTGATGGAGATGGCAGATAAGAGAGAGATGGGGAGAGAGAGGGGGAGATATAGATATAGAAATATATATATATATATAAAGATATATACATATAGAGAGATATAAAGAGGGAGTAGAACGTCGGGCAGAAGTGATCAGTGTAAGCAGCAGCTCAGGAGGGGGCGACGCCCAACAACTTGTAAAAGAAATCTCAAACAATGGGACAATTATTAGACACAAACTTTAAAACTTATTGTGAAAATGCACAAGTGCGGAGTTTGGGGAAGTGAGTGAGAAGGTTTGGGGGAAGAGAGGGGCAGAGGACAGAGCGGAGGGTGAGGACTGTCAGACCTTACCTTACTGGTGATCTCAGCCGTCAGTCCAAACCTCGGACCCTTAGTGAACTGTGTGTGGCTGAGGGACATCTTACAGACAGAGGGGGTCTGTGTGAGGGTCTGTGTGAGGGTGTGTGTGAGGGGGTCGGGGTGTGAGGCTGTGTGTGTGGGAGGGGGTCTCTGTGAGGGTCTGTGTGTGTGAGGGTGTGTGTGTGAGGGTGTGTGAGGGGGTCTGTGAGGGTGTGTGTGAGGGTCTCTGTGAGGGTGTGTGTGAGGGGGTCTGTGTGAGGGGGTGTGTGTGAGGGGGGTCTCTGTGAGGGTGTGTGTGAGGGCTGAGCTGTGGCCGCAGTGGAGGACAGTGCAGTGCGCAGTGACGGTGGGAATCTGCTTTTATTTGACTTTAGATGAGAGCGGCGCCAAACCCTTCTCTTTTGAAGAGTTTCTCCCTCTCTCTGTGTGTCGGTGCAGTGCAGTGCAGTGCAGTGAGAGCCCTCCCGGTGCCCAACATCTCCATATAAGGGCACAATCTGATAAATTCCAGGAATGGGCGGTGTTGGTGTGTCCTGAACTGTGTGGTGTTCCCAATCCCCCAATCCCCAGCCCCTCCCCCCAACCCCCTCCCCCAGCCCCCTCCCCCCAACCCCCTCCCCCAGCCCCCTCCCCCAACCCCCAGCCCCCCCCAGCCCCTCCCCCCAACCCCCCCAGACCCCAATCCCCAGCCCCCTCCCCCAACCCCCCAGACCCCAATCCCAGCCCCCTCTCCCCAACCCCCCCCAGACCCCAACCCCCAGCCCCCCCCAGACCCCTCTCCCCCAACCCCCTCCCCCAACTCCCCCAGCCCCCTCCCCCCAACCCCCAACCCCCTAGACCCCAACCCCCAGCCCCCAACCCCCCCCAGACCCCAACCCCCAGCCCCCTCCCCCCAACCCCCAGCCCCCTCCCCCCAACCCCCCCTCCCCCAACCCCCAGCCCCCCCAACCCCCTCCCCCCAACCCCCCAACCCCCCCTAGACCCCAACCCCCAGCCCCCTCCCCCCAACCCCCCAGACCCCAACCCCACAGCCCCCACAACCCTCAGCCCCCCCAACCCCCCAACCCCCCAGACCCCAACCCCCAGGCGTCTCAAAGCGTCTCAAAGCGCTTTACAGGACACACTGTAAAGTGAATGGACTGTGTTATTTGTGGGTGAAACGCGGCAGCCAATTGTGCACAGCAGCGTCCCACACACAGTCAGGGATTGAAGTGACCACATTTTTTTTGTGAGGGATTATTATCAGACGTGTGTGTGGAGTAAGGAAACGTACCCAAGTTCGCTCTGCCCAGGTCTCTCGCTTGCGAGACGAGGGCTCTTAACTATTGAGCTACAGGACTCCACGAGGAGATTGGGAGAAAGGGGCCTTTTATGTAGATGATGGAATCCTGTAGCGTAATTGTTAGAGCACTCGTCTCGCAAGCAATAGGACCTGGGTTCAATTCCCGGGCAGGGCAAAACATTAGGCAAGTTTCCTTACTCCACACAATTGGCAGATCGCTTTTCCGGGGGTAATAATTACTTCCAAAAAATCTTTTAAAATGTTTTTATTATAAATTGGTCACTCAATCTGCGGCTGTTTGTGGGACGCTGCTGTGCCCAATCGGCTGCTGTGCTTCGCCCACAAAATATACAATCGATTCACTTTACAGTGCATTCTGTGAAGCGCTTTGAGATGTCTCAACGACGTGATAAGGCGCTATATGAAATACAATGATTATTACTATTTTGTTTCCCCCCCGCACCACTCTTCACTGAAAGCCCAGTGGCATTCAGCCACTACGCCCTGAAATTCTGGAACGCTCTCCCTCAATCTCAATTCCTCAGCCTTGTCCCCTTTATCGGTCCCACCTGAAAACCTCGCTTTTCGACCGTGCTTACGTCACTCTCCCCCACCCCCCGCCCGCCTCAGAATCAGGCTCCGCCACTGTTAAGTGCCCTGAGATGCTGCCCTGCATGGAGGGCGCTATATTTGTGCAAGTTGTTGCTGTGCACAATTGGCTCCAACATTTTACCCACAAAATACCAAGTGTTGGATGGGGGAGGGAGCTCCGCATTGTCAGACGTGCCAGCGACAAACCAAGCTCCCTTCTTGTTCAGGTGCACATTCACAGGATTGGAAAAGAGAAGGGAGTTTCTCCCAATGTCCTGGACAAACAATCTCACAGAAAAAAATGTTATTGACTTTGTAGCTGTTTGCAGTGTGAAAATTGGCTGCTGTGTTTGTTTACAAATATATGGTCACTACACCCTTGAAGCACTTTGAGATGTTTTGATGCCTTAGACACATACTTACACATATAGTATATTCTGTGAAGGGCTTTGAGATGTCTCAATGATATGATAAAGCACTATATCAAATGCAATGATTATTATTATTATAAGCCTTTCCCAATTCCTGTCCCCTCCCCTCCCACCCGCCCCCTCACGAAATGCGCTGTGTCTCACTGGGGTGCACTTGCCCTGCTCTCCTCCTTACCTGACCAGGTTGCTGTCTGGGCTCAGGCACTCACACTCTCTTTACCAAAGGCATTGCAAAATGAACTTGGAAACGGCCAAACATTCCCGAGAAATCACAAACAGAAAGAGCCCCAAATTATCACGCTCTCCCCTGCCAAGAATTCTGCAAAACAGATATATAAAATTCCATCAGCGCTGAGCTCCCATCCCCACAGCAAGCCAGGCCGGGAGCATGGCCCAGGCTGTGTTTACACTGGCGTTGGTACAGCTCACACACATTGCTCCTGGAATTCCATCGTTTGCAGAGGGGAACGCATTGAGATGCTACACTGTAGGGCGTTATACCGTGTGACCAAAAAGTCATGATATCTGTCCTAATTATCTAAAATAAATATCATAATTTCTTTAAGACTTACTAGACATTGTAATGTCATCCCGGCTTTTAGGTCACCCTGTATAAATACCAATAATCCTTGCATTTGATATAGATCCCTATCAATTCTTTGAGACATCTCAAAGTGCTTCACAGGATGTAAAGTGGAGTGACTGTGTATTTTGTGAGCGAAACACAGCAGGCCAATTGCGCACAGCAGTGTCCCAAAGATAGTCATGGCCTCAGCCCACAATTTTTGGGGGAGGGGAGAGATTATTACTTCCAAAGAGATCCGCCAATCGATTTACTGCTAGGTAAACAGAGACATGTGGGGTAAGGAAACTTGCCTAAGGTTTTCCCCCACCCGAGAATCGAACCCGGGTCCTCTCGCTTGCGAGGCAAATGCAACAATCCCTGCGCTACTGGACTCTACTCCACGAAAAGTAAGTTGCAGTTGTGGTATAATTTGACCTAAGCATCCCTGGGCGAGGGTAGAGAAGAACCAGTCAGCGTTTGTGTCCTGGATGATTATCCAGAGGTCATTTGTGGGGAGGTGTCTGCGTTATGTCAGGTAAGGGCTTGTCATTGCAGCACTCAGCAAAATCCTACTTGGCAAAGACACAATCACTTTGCTCAGCTCTGGGAGGGTCAGCCCACATGATGTCATGTGTATGATCCCTGTTATCCGAACCTCAGATTAAGATTTCCACTTTAAAGCCTGGTCACACATACAGTTCCTCTCTACGTACCACCACCACCCCCGTGGGGCCTGTCTGCATTGTCGACTCATTATAATGCGATTTCCCCGTTTTAAAGACCTCACAGAAATTGCTATTTTTGGCCAAGGGCCTAAGGTAGACTTCATTCTGAATTAACAAGAACAGAATTACACAGAAGATTGCTGCATGGGAACTGGCCCTCTGGACAAACTAGTCTGTAGTAGCGTTCATCCTGCTCCCGAGTCTCCACCCCAGTTCAGCATATTGGGACTTTGAACTCAGCCCAAGTCCTTGGCTCCTGTTCCATTGCAATGCTGAGGGGAGGGGAGGGGAGGGGAGGGAGCGCCACATTGTCGTTGGTGCCAACAAGAAACAAAGGTCCCATCTGCCTGTTCAGGTGGATGTAAAAGATCCTGTGGCGCTGTTTGAAAAGAAAAGGAAGTTTCTCTCTCCTGGTGAACTGGCCAACAACACCCCATCCCCCACTCCACCAAAAGAAAAAGTAAATCACTTATTTACAGCTGTGTGTGTGATGTGGCCGTGCACAATCCTACCCTGCCACATTTTTCTACAAGCACATAGTCACTTCATTTCACAATAAATCCCGTGAAGCGCTTGGAGACGTGATCAGGCCCTTTACCAAATGCAGGGATTCCTGTTCCATGTCTAAGGGGAAGTGTGGTCTGGTTTTGCCAAGTCCAGCTGCACATCTCATTCGCTGACCCGGTGTTGGCCTTGGCAGGCAGGGGCCTGGTTTCCAGGGGTTTCTGTGGGACACAGCCCTGAGGGTCCTGGATATTCAGCGATGGTTCTTTTTTGACTGTCACCTCTGAAGTGAGGTCCCACCCACAGTTCCTACGTTATGTGCTTTCGGTGGGCAAGTATCAGACTGAAATGAAGCGGATTTATTTTCCCCTCACTATTTATTTCAAACACTTTCCTTTTCAACACCGAACCCAAACATTGATCAATAAAGGGGAGAGCTCAGATTTTGAGATTTGTAAACAGACGGGAGGTGGTTTGGCTCTTGTCATATCCCTGGGATTTGTCTCTGATGTTACACTGGGTCAAACATGCCATCTTTGTTTATTGTGACTTTTGGTTTACAATATTCTCCTCTGTTCCCCTCTCTCCACTACTCACTCTCTCTTCTGTTACCAATTTGTACCCCTCTATTGCTCCTCTGTTCCCTTCTCTCCTCTGTTCCCAATCTGTACCCCTCTATTGCTCCCCTGTTCCCCTCTCCCCTTCCCAATCTGTGCCCCTTTCTCCTCTGTTCCCAATCTGTACCCCTCTATTGCTCCCCTTTCCCCTCTCCCCTTCCCAATCTGTACCCTCTCTCCTCTGTTCCCAATCTGCAGCCTTTTATTCCTTCCTTGTTCCCCTCTCTCCCCTATTCCTCTCCCCCTCTGCTCCCCTTGACAGCTGCTGTACTTTCATACTTGGCGGAAACAGGGTGTTTTGTTGGCGTTACTGTAAGCAGGCTGATGGCACCATTATTGGTATTTAGTAATACCCACAATTCGCTGTCTGGTGGCAATCATAGAGCATCCCATGAATACCAGACATTC